CAAAAAAAGGTTAAAAACTCCTGCTGTAAGTTGTTACTGATTCAATGCACTACCCTTATCAGGGATACTTGTATTTGAAACTAAGAGAACATGACTCTCTAATGGTGGAATTTCAGGCATTGGATGGGGGAAATACTTTTGAGCATACATGTGTTCAAGAAATCTGCCAAAAATCAGATGATTCTTACCTCCATTGTTTCTGCCTCTTTTGAGAGGCCGTTAGAAGGCAGTATAAGTTGTTGCACTATAGCAAGTCTGCCCTTTTTTGTGTATGTGGCTTTTTTTGGTGGTTATTTGCTAAAGGCAAAACATAAAAATTGGGCTCCTTTAATCTATAAATAATGAGTACATGTGTACATATATGTGTTTGTATCAGATCCTGAGTGAGTCTTTCTCTGCTCTTTTGCCTTTCAGCAAAAAAAAAAAAAGAAAGAAAGAAAGAAAAAGAAAAAAGATACTTAGAATGAACTTTTCAGTTTGCATCCTTGAAATGGTAGGAGCAAGAACTACTGGGAAAAAAAACAGCCTTAACAAGGACTGTGGGGAAGCTATTCAAATGATTCCCTGGGGGGGTTGACCTGAAGTATGCAGAAGAAACATGTGAACAGAACTATGTGGATAGCTATAATTTAGATATGTATTTGTGTAAAAAATGATCTGATACCTACATATACATATATATATTTTTTATTTTGGTCCAGATCTATGATGTCATTGGTGTGGGTTACTTTTGATGAGGAAATCTTTATCACTTTTGATCAGTAACTGTTCTACTAGCTTATAGTAAGGAAGGAAACAAACATTTATTAAGCGCCTACTATGTGCCAGGCACTATTCCTTACAAATATTTTCTCATTTGATCTTCACAATAACCCTAAGAGGTAGGTGCTATTATTATCCCCATTTTACAGATAGGGAAACTGAGGCAAATAGCAATTGCCCAAGGTTACACAGCTAGTGAGTATCTGGGGCTGGATTTAAACTCAAGTTTTTCTGACTCTAGGCCCAGAGTTCTATCCACTGTGCCACCCAGCTGCCTCTAATTACTTCTTTATAGTTTTAGCAAGTAATGTCCTAAAGGTCACTCAGCCTGTATGTGTCAGAGAAAGGCCTTAGACCCAGGACTTATGCTGACTAAGACTGGCCCTCTGCCCCCATGACATTCTATATATGAGGCAATGTGGTGTAGGGGGTCAGAGGGCCATCTTTGGCTTACATAGGCACAGTTACTATCCTCATTTTATAGAGGAAGAAGCTAAAACTGAGATAAGTAATTTGCTCAGTGTTTCAGAGCTAAACTTTCAGTTTTTATAGTGTTTCAAGTATCTGAGGCAGGATTTGAACTGAAATCTATGTGACTTCAATTCCAGAGTGCTATCCTCTATACTATACAGTAGATATAGCACTACTGATAGATATTTCTCAGGGCTCAAGATTTTTTTTATTTGAATGAGTATTCTTGCAATAATATGTAGTGTTACCTAGAAATAGACACACCCAGAAAGGCAGCCTAGAATAGTCACAGACAGTCACAAAGCTATTCAAAACACACTCCTATCCCTATTAGCCACAACAGAGTAGGAATTATGAAAGGTATCTAATGATGTAGTTTAAGTGGTGCAGTGGATAGAGCACTAGGACTGGAGTCAGGAAGACTCCTCTTCCTGAGTACAAATCTGGCCTCAGATACTTACTAGCTGTGTGACCCTGGATAAGTCACATCACCCTGTTTGCCTCAGTTTCCTCATCTGTAAAATGACATGGAGAAGGAAACGGCAAACCACTCCAGTATATTTTCCAAGGGAACCCCAAATGAGATCACCAAGGGTCAGACACGACTGAAAAACAATAAACAATGTCTTCCACAATTACTCCTTGAACTGCCTCTTTTCCTGGAAACAATGCAGTTCTTCAGGGTATTGCCTCGTGGGGTGCTGATGGCCCCTTTTGCTCCTGGGTAGCTGGCAACTTAGGCCTCTGTCATGGTTCTAACTCCTTGTTGGCAGTCCTAGGATCATAAAATCCTTGAGTCAGAAGAGATATTTTAGGACATTTAGTTGATACATAAGTCCCTTCTACAATATCCCTGATTGCTGACCACATCCAGCCTTTGCTTGAATACTTTTGGGAAGGGAGCCCTCACTACTATTTCATGAAATAGCTCATTCCATTTTTGGACAGCTCTGAGTGGTAGGAATTTCTTTCCTTTTATTGAGCTGAAATTGGCCTCCCTCTAACGTCTACTCACTGGTCACTATTCTACCCTTTGGCGCCAAGAAGAACAAGTCTAATCCATCTTGCATGACAGCCCTTTAAATATTTGAAAACAGCTCTCATGTGCCCTTCAAGTCTTCAGATTGAACATCCCCAGTTCCATTAAACTATCTTCCTATGATGTGGTTACCAGGACTCCCTGAGTTCTGATTGCTTTACTTTCAAAGTGTTCCAGTTTGTCAAAGCTCTTCCTAAGGTGGGGCACCTAGAACAACAAGATATGGCACTTCAGGGCAGAGCCCAGCAGGACTGTATGACACTAAGTCTCTCGTAATGGAGACTATATTTACATTAGATTATTTGGCATTTGCTGTCCATTGCTGGCCAATATTGATTTTGCTAAGTTGGTGTTTTTTTATCACATGAACTGCTGTTAAGCTATGTTTCCCTCATCCTATAATTGTGCAGATTTCCTTCCTTCCTTCCTTCCTTCCTTCCTTCCTTCCTTCCTTCCTTCCTTCCTTCC